AAAAATGGCGGCGCCGGCTTTATGCTAATGAAGCCGGGAAATTCAAATCCCGGGCTTCATTAGCAAGTTCGGTATGCATACATTACCCCCCTAGTTCGAACTAGGGGGGTAGTGTAGACATACCCTCCGTCATATAAATTGTTGATGAAGCAATAATGTTCTGTTTTATTTTGGCTACTCCTGAGTTACTTCAATGTGAAATAAGGATTAGACCTTATTCATAGGTCCATCAATGGCTATTAGCCTGGATGAGTAAGAATGGTGTCCCTAGCCTGTGTTAGTCAGAAACTGGTAATGGGTGACAAGGGAGAGATCGTTTGATGATTGATTCCCTGTTCTGTTCCCTACCTCTGGGGCAACTAGCACTGGCCAATGTCGGCAGACAGAACACTGGGCTAGATGGACCCTTGGTCTGACCTAGTCTGGCTGTTCTGATGTTCTTGTTTTTCATTTGAAAACAATAAAACTTTCAAGGAAGTCAGTGATTAAAAGTAGGCGACTAACTTTATTTTACACCTTCTTCTTCACTTTTCTTACTGCGTCCTTTTGAGGTGACAGTACCAACACTTCTGCATTCTTTGTGTTAGTTACATCCCTTTTTCACATCCACTGAACATTGCTGCAAGTTACTCTAATTTACTTACATCAAGTTTTCTCACCAACTTACATCTGACATTTAATGTATGCCATCACTACTTTAACTGAAGAATCTGGCCTGCTCATTGAGAACTTTTTCTTCATATCCCAGCTTCTCCTCCTGCATCATGCTGTAGTGAAGTAAAAATTCCCAAACTTATGACATTACAAACTGCTGGCATAAAAGGTATTGAGATGTAACTAATTCAGCATGAGGACTTCAGGGTCAAAAAGGAAGAGAAGATGGGCAGTGAGAAACCGTTCCTGTATTTCCAACAAACAAACTTTGGTATTAGCAAATACTGCAGGAAGAAATATGAAGATGTCTTTATATTTTTTGTCTGATGTATTTAGTAACTTTTTTACAGTATCAAAGTTTCTCTAAGATTTTTGTCCTCAAGGACACAAGCGGATTACCATATGGGTCAGTGGAAGTTGCTGTTAGTATGCTTTAAGCAGCATCTCTGCAAGTCAAAGCTTGATAAGGCTAAGCAATCTGAATAGACATTAGTAAAGTATTTCTCATGAAAAGAAAGTTCTCCAGTTTGACAGTATTTTTACACTATTTTGAAATAACTGCCCGCTGTATAGATGCTATGTTTTCACTAAACAGTGACTATATGGGATTGTTAAGGAGGGGAGAAGTAAATCATAGACAGCTGAAACTTCATAACTTAATGATATTTAAAATATCCATCTTTCCTGTACAGGCAGCCCCCGGGTTACATGAATCTGACTTACATCAGATCCCTACTTACAAACGGGGTGAGGCAACCCTGCACTAGCTGCTTCCCCCCAGCAGACTAGGGAGACGCGAAGCTAGCGCCTCCCCCCCCAGCAGACCAGGGAGACGCAGAGCGGCTTTTCTCAGCAGACACCTCAGCTTGAGAATAAAGGACTGAGGGAAGTGAGGTGTGGGAGAATAAAACTGAGCTCTGGAGAAATGTTTGGCTAGAGTTTCCCCTACAATATGTACCAGTTCCGACTTACATACAAATTCAACTTAAGAACAAACCTACAGTCCCTATCTTGTACGTAACCCAGGGACTGCCTGTACTGCTTGTTCTGCTCTTTGGGGGTGATCTTATTTTACTAGTAAAACTAGAAAGTACAACTTTGCCAACATTAGGGACTCTTTACCAGTATAGTATGTCAGTATTCCTATACCTCTGAAACATTCCTAGTACAAGTTTCCCCTACAATATGTACCAATTCCGACTTGCATACAAATTCAACTTAAGAACAAACCTACAGTCCCTATCTTGTACGTAACCCGGGGACTGCCTGTACATTTTCACAGACATTTTTAAACAGCAAATCTTCAGAACTGAGTTATTTTAAGATTATTCCCAGAGAAAAGGGAAAAGGGAAAGGGAAAAACCTGAAATTTTACCTTCCGAAAAGGTAACAGAATGTATTATGGACTTCGTGCCTAATTGGTTAAAAACTGCAGGAACCTGCCTTAAAGGAAGCATTGAATACATACTAATAAATGCACTGATGACAGGAAACCTATTTTCTATTCGGGGCACCTAACCTGGGTATCCCAAATATTTAATGTGAGCACTCAAAATTGCAAGTATGTGCATAAAAGAGGCTGAGAGAAAGAGAAAGAGAGAGAGAACGATATTAAGTGCCAATTTGAATGTCCAAATGCAGGATTTGGTTCTTCAGTAAAGGCTCCTTAGTTTGAACACTGAGTTCTAAACGTTACATGCATAGAAAAAAGTACAAAAGCTAACTCTTAAAGCAGATGACCAGCTTTCACGGACTCTGGACCATCCTGTAGTCAATTTGGAGGTTTTGCCTTCTTGGAAATGGTTGTCAGAACTGATGCCAATACCAGCTCATTTCTCCCTTACAATTACTGTTTCCCTGGGCTAATATAGTGTTACACACTGTGACACACTTTACCAGATATGTTTGTTCCAGCTATTGTACACATGAAGCAACTATGATGCCTAAATCTGTTTGCCTAGCTCTTTGAGTCGTCAATAAAATTAAAAAGCAATGCTATCCTATGGCTTATAAAAAAATATTGTTTAATTGCGATTTACAATTTATCACACATTTTCTCCATCTTTACACAAAAAGGGTATTATTTCATAAATTCAACTGCCTCTACAGGCCAGCACTATCTATCCAGTTAAGACCGTTTCTGTGGCCACCAGCAGTGGCTCTACTTCCCACCACTCTTATGCACTGTCAGAAAAACCTAATGCCTCTAACACTTCCCCAGTAGGAATCACATAATAAAGGTGGACACAAAAATACTTGGGAAGTATTACTAGCCCAGAAACCATATAACAGTAGCAAAATAGAATAATGCTAAACAGAGAAAGATGATTTGCCATTCTGCCATTAAACAGTCATGATAAAAGGATTTGGGTCTGTTACTTAGCAGCGGGATTCCTGTGCATTCAGCAACTGCCTAAATTTGAATTTTCCTCCACACCAAAATGTCCTTGTGATCTGGAGAAAACTTAAATGTATATATGGAAATTCACATTACAGCAAAAATGAATACAAGATTTTCCCCCTCCCAGTTCTTATCAAAATGAATAACTCTGCATATAGTTGGGAATTGTGGCAAAGTAGAGACTTTAAAGGAACTGAGAGCAGCTGGTTCAACTTTCACAAGAGCTTTGTTGGATTTATTTGAGATGGATTCATAGGAAGACTACCTGTGAGCCACTTTGGGTTATGCCTGAATTCCTAATATAATTTGGGGAGTTCAATGAGAGGACATTACATGAAGCGTTTTTGCAAGTAGGTTTTTAGTTCTTAACCAAAGTCTTTTTTCTAGCAATGCTTTTATTTCACAGGTTGAAACCAAAGAAAGTTTTTCTTCAGAACCAGCCAGAAAAGATGAGGTTGTAGAAATGTATTTAAGTCAGTTAAATCTCCTAAAGGGCTTGCTGTTTGTATTTAGCTATTGCCCCAGCCATTTGAGAACTTGAATTAAATGCAGGAAATAAATACCTTTATTTCTGATGCAATATTTGTGTGAGTTTTGAATATTATTGTTCTGGGCCAAATACTTCTGCACAAAATGGCCTCATTTCGTAATTTTCTTCTATTCCATTAGTTTTGCCACTTTCTGTCTATGAATTATTGATAAACTATAGCCATTTTCTCAAATTCATTGTTCAAAATCATTCTCTAAATCAGGGGTAGGAACCTAAGGCCCAGGGGGCCAGAACCAGCCCCTGGCTCACCTGGATCGGCCCCCCAAGGTTCAGGGCTTCCCTCCAGCATTGGGGAGCCAGTTCTGGTTCTCCAGCCCTGCAGCTCCCCACAGCCCCTCCCCACGGGGCTGCAGTAGGAGCGCTGGTTCTCCACTCTGGGGGGAGGAGCCCTGAGCCTTGCAGGCTGGAGTCAGGCAAGCTGGGATAGATCCAGCCTGATGTACATCCCACCTCATCCATCTCCTGCATCCTACCATGTGTAGCTCTCCCATCCCCAGCCTGCTCCTGCACCTTCCTTCCCACCCAGATGCCACACCCCAAGCCTGCTACCAGGTAGCCCCCCTCCTACACACCTATTCTTTCATTTTTGGCCCCACACCAGAGCCAAAGGAGGCCCACAATATCAACTATCCGGAGTCTCCCTAGGCTCTGATGTGCGAAGGGAATGTGGGGAGTGTCTTTCTGCTTCTTAATTGGCGGCCATGCCAGTGAGGTATCTTTTTTTTTACTTCTCACTTTTGTGCAGCCAGTTGATTTTTCTATATGTCAGCAGCCCCTGAACCAAAAACAGTTTCCCACCTGTGCGCTAAATAATAACTTAGTCTGCAGACTGTCAGCTGGTAGATCATTTTGAGTATTTAATGTTCAGTTTATGGGAATATTCTTGAATAATAGTATGAATTTCAGTTTAGTGAACTTTCCTGCCAGTAAATTTATTTTCTTAAGAATCATGAAAAGAGAGCACAAAAGAGGTTTAAACACCCTAAGCAAAACTTTAAAAATAGTAAATAAATGTTTGTGGAAAATATTTTGCTTAGCGCTAAGTGCCCTAGGCAGCTCTGCTGTATTTGCAATTCTTCTTTATATATTTAATGGAAGGAACATCTACAAGAAACAGGATCAAGACAAACAAACAATAAAATCCCCACATACTGCACTGAAAAGTGTTAAAGTTATTACAATAAGTGATTTGTTTAATGTGCCAATAATTGTAATAGCTTTCATATCATAATATTTAACCCACCTTCTTACCTGTTACATGAAGGGTGGCCCTTTAATCTAACACCTAGGCTACATCCATAAAGAGGGAAACTCCATTAGACTCTTGTCTACCCGGTAGTGTGGGTTTCCCTTCCAAAAAATTGAAATAAAGTTCGTGGAAAGTGCTTGCTGCACCAGTTTTATCTTTTTGTTAAATAAAAAAGTTGGCTGTAGTGGCACCAGATAAATAACTGAAATACGTTAGAGAAACAAGCCTTAAACCGTTTGAAGTACTGTCATCAACTTGCCTTCATTCAGTGGCCTAAACAATTTGACGTGCTACATGCAGGAAATACACAATTTTCAAGGAGCTGCTACAGATTTTTAAAATCTTGCTTAAGTTATTCCAGGAATTCCCAACCATAGAAATCTTGATCATGTGTTATGCCTCATTAAACATGATAGCCCTTGGTTGTTACAGATCTTAGAAGAATACCTGACTGATCACTGCTGAGGACAAATGGGCCCAATGCAAAGCGGTGAGCAGAGAAGGTCTGAGGAGTTCCACTCTACAGGGCAAGTGCTATAGCGCTCTTCAGAGGAGTGGGAAGCACATGAAAAGTAGTTTCATGCCTTGGAAAAAATCCTGTGCGGTGCCTAATAGTTTCACTTCATCCCACAGAGCCCATGAACATTAATTTAGAAGGAAGGCATCTTCAACCAGAAGAATACATGGACTCACAGGTTTAAGGATCTATTTCTGAGAAAGTAGTCAGAACCAACCACATGAATCATTCATTTACTGAAGATGTTATGTAACTAAGGAGAAATTTAGCTCCCTGACTTTCCTGTAATGTTAAGGAGACACTTCCCCTTTCAATTTTATTTCCCAGAACTTGGCTGCTATATATCACAGTCATGGGACAAAATCATAGATTCCCACCATGGGAAGAGATGGGTTTGGTGCTATTTGCCACTTCATGGTGGTGTTCCAAGCACCAAAGTTTCATTTAAGCATCTGGGAAGTCCAGCAACATCACACAGCTATTAGTAGCTTCACATCATTGGGCTTGGATTTGATCCTATTGTATGAGCAGATACACAGGAATTCACATTATCGTGAATTCTATCCAGGATATTCTCTAGCATAGTTCAGGCATGACAAGCATGCTACACGCAGAAGAAAAAAATAAAATGACTGACCTGAACTGACTATGAAATTTAATACAGTTAGTGGAGTATTTCCATAAGGAGCAGATTCCATAATAGTCTGCCAAACAGAGTGTTAGAGGAGTGGTAGAAAGTATGTCTTAAGAATATTACTGTAATAAAAGTAGTGAAAATGCACATTTCTAACCACAGTTAGATTCTAAATATTGTACAAAAAGCAAATTACTGGGATCCCCCTTCATTGAAGTACTCTTTCTACTGTGAAGAAACAAAGCATGCAGCATTCTGGGGAGCTCCAGAATTTGCCTTGCCACAGGAAAGATCCACCAGTGTGAAATAACTGACAATACCTGAAGGATATGATAAGAAATTGGTGCACCTTTGGGTAAACAGTAAATTAGTTGTCTCCAGACAGTGATTTTGTAGGGGTTGATTTTAGTTCCTTGTGTTGGTCAGCTATTTTTAAATTGGAATATAGGCAAGTAGGGAGCTATAGGAATTCTTAAATATTCCTACCAACACATTTAATTGTTTCTGAACCATCTTGTCCATTTCTGAGGCTACAATAGAAGAAATATATAAAAAGTCCAAATAGTATCTACAAAGGTCAAATTAAACAGACTGAAAGTGATAGAAAACATAAACTTACACACACTAACTTATACAACCATTTCCATAGTTACAGTATCTGTGTGCTAAGCAAATTGAAGATTATAGTATTAGTATTACAAAGGGAACCCTTAAAATTATGTATTTTTATAAAACATTACTTTTAAACATTTTAAAGCTTTTTCTACTCATGCCGATCTTTACAGGCAAAATCAAAACTGAGGATGTACTGCTGTCAAATGCATAAAATCGATGAAATTGAGAATATTATTAAATTTAATTTATAATAATTTTAAGTGTTATTAATGACTTGGGTCTGAAACTTTTGCCTTAGACACAAACACATTTTCCACTACTGTGCCACATGAGGAAGCCTTATCATCTTCTATTGATAGCTCCAAAGAAACAAAGTCAGCGAAGAAAAGCTATATGCAACCACCTTATGAATGCAGAAAAAATACTACTAAGTCCATGTGTGCTATTTTTGAGCAGGTGTGTATTTGTTACTTGTGTAAGATAATGGGGCTTGATCTCCAGGTACTACGGAAATAAACATAGTAATAATAAAAATAAATAATAAGCCAAAACATAGAAGAATCCAGAAGCACTCACCGTTTGGTTATCCTCATATAGCTTCAAGTCATATCCACTCAGCTCCACACAGAAAATTATTGCTGTAACCCCTTCAAAGCAGTGGATCCATTTTTTGCGCTCAGACCTTTGTCCACCCACATCCACCATTTTGAAAGTCAGCTCTTTGAAGGTAAATTTATTTTCCACAATCCCTGTGGTCATATCCCGAGAACGCAGAATATCTTCCACTGTAGGGATGTAGTCCAGTGCTGCAATCCTTTCTAGGTCATTTAAATAGTATGCCGCATTATCCTCTAGGTGGTACTCATTGGATCGGCAAAAGCAGTCCTGCACACCGGGGTCTGCCCAGAGCCGCTTCATGACTCCTAGAAGCTCAGGTGTAATCTCTCCTTTGCTTTCAGCTGGGCCTGTCAGGGCAAAAAGCTGCACGGCATCATAGGCCCTGTCAGGATTGTGGAACTCTATCTTAAGAGTGGCTAGCGCACGAATGATGCGTGTGAGGGAGTCAATGGCATTATAGATAATCAGAGGTTTGTATTCCTTGCAAGCCTCCAAGTTAAAGCCACCACTGTGAATGATTTTCATTTGCTTGACAATAGTACTCTTGCCAGAGTTGCTTGTACCCAGGAGTAGGAGCTTGATCTCACGTCGTTGTCGCTGACTCTCAGAGCGCAGGTGGCGATCAATCCTGCGGGACCGCCGCGCTGCCTCTTTCTCCTCAGAGCTTTGCCTACATCCCATGGTATAGCAGACAGTAGCAGAAGAGGAGAACTGGAGATTATCTCTCTCGTGTTGTCTGTCTCTGAGCAAGAGCTGGAATATCTTTCAATTCTCGTGCCAGGTGCACCCTGTGGGGGAAAAAAATCACTATCCAATACCTGATGGGCCAATAGGACTGTACCAACTAGTTCAATCCCAGCAGGGGTGTAAACAAATGTAAAAATTCAAGCACAGACAGATAGTCTCCTCAGTAGATTGCATGGCACTCCCCTTTCTTGTGAATAAACAGTGGCACATTCCTGTTAATGAAAGGACACTTCCCTATTCCAGAGTGTGGCTGGATCAGTCAAATATTCTTTTCTCTTCTGCATAATTATTTTGCTGTTTTCTGTCCAAAGGTAAGGAGCTGCACCTTGATATGCTCCGCTTTAGTCCAACCTGTCTTTTAATTGTATTTTCTGGTTGCTGTGGTGATGCTGTTAATTACAGCTGAAGGTCTGGTATGATTTTGTTGTATTTGTTTTGTTTCTCCACCCACTTTGGGAGGCTGATCCAGTTCAGACCCGTGAATCTGCACTCTCCACCTGTCAAACAGCGAGAGAAAAGAAATGAATAGAACTGGGGGACTTAATTTCCCTTCTGCAGAACATTCACATTTTCTCTGATTCTGCTACTTCTGAACATTGTATTACTCCAAATACAGCCCCAATGGAAAATGAGTAAAGTCAAATAATAAAAATCTTGAAATACTGCAGAATTTTAGAGATAGCTTGAGTCTGGAGACCTCAGAAAATGTGTACCCTGAACAATAGTAAATCAAATCTCTTTTTCTCTCTAGCCTTCTGTGTTTTTATTACCCAAATCCACATGAAAACAAACAGTGCTGAGCTCTCTCCCAATTCTCTCTCAGTAAGAGCTGATGGCAGCCCTTTTCCTGCACAGCCCTGATCTGACCGGTTTTCTCAGAGCAGAGTACATGAGAGAGATTCACAACTACTTAACCTCTCCTTGCATTTATATTGCCCTGGCACTTGAATGTGTGTACTTGATTCTTTTGTTTGTATTGAACATTTTTGCAAATAAATGATGAAATGAAAGGTGGAGATTGGGTTTGCATGAGAGTTTTGTGAAAAGGTTTATCTGAAGAGGCACGATTATTGATCTTTGCAGGAAAATGTTACAAGGTGTACCAGCCTCGAAAGAGCTGCAAAGAGGGCCCTCCAGGACTGTCTAGGGAGGCGGAACAAAAGAAACCAATCAGAGCCCAGCAGACTCAGATAAAAGGAGCAAAGGGGGGTTAGTAGGTCAGTTTCTGGCTACAATGAGAGGTGCAAGACAGGGTGCTCCTCTTTAGCCACAAGAGAGCTTGACTGGCTGAATTTACTCAGACGACATGAGAACTTTAACCCTAAGGTAAGGGGTGAAGATAAAGGGGACAGAAGGGAAAAGGCTCAGGGAAATAGTTGCAACAGCAAGAAGGGATCATTATGTGGTTGGTCTTTATAAGGTGCCTGGGTGGGAAACTGAAGTGAAGGGCAGGGCTGGGATTCCCCACCAGCCACTGATGAAGTGGCCTAAGCTTGAAGAAAGATTATTTAGAAGCCTGAGTGCACGACTGAATTTAAAGGACTCAGAATCAGACCTGACAACCCGTGTTCCCTCTAATCTTTTCCATCAATGTGTGGAATAATTTTTTATGTGCACCAAGACAAATGTGAATGTGTGCCATGAGAAAGGAAACCTAGTTGTGGTTACTCTGCTAATCATCGGGTGATGTTGGAATCGCTCCTGAGAGGCTGCACAAGTACACAGCTTACACTACAGGGACTCTAGTGAGGGCATGCTACCATGGAAGGGGTTCATTTTTGACTGTGATACTCAGTGTAATGGGTGAGCCACTGAAGACCCTCTAAGTGAGACCAACAACCTACAGGGCACCAGCAGCAGAAAAAGGTCTTCAGTCTCATATGCAGCAGCAGGAGAAACTCAAGAGATATGTCCCCTGATACAGACACCTTAACAAATTCTTTCTTCCCCTTAAAAAACAATATTATGTAGAGCAGAGGTTTTCAAGCTTTTTTTCCTGCTACCCAGTCGAAGAAAATTGTTGATGCATAATTATATCTTTTGACTTGAGTGCAGGCTTCAGGGTGGGTCTGTGGGGATGAGGGGGTTTGGAGTGAGAGAGGGTGGGGCTGTAGGGATGAACGGTTTGGGGTGAGGGAGGGTGCTTTGCCTAGGGGTTCTGGGTAGGGTCCGAGATGAGGAGTTTGGGGTGGAGGCTGGGCTATAGAGGGATTCTGTATGCGGGTAGGGACTCTGGGCTGGGGCATGGGGGTGAGGTAGAGGGGACCTAGGCTCTGTAAAGGGGTGCAGGCAATGGGATAGGGCCAGGGATGAGGTGTTTGGGATGTAGGAGGGGCTCAGGACTGGGACAGTGGATTGTTGGGGCACAGGCTTACTTTACAAGGGGATGAAGGCAATGGGATAGGGCCAGGGATGAGGTGTTTGGGATGTAGGAGGGGCTCAGGACTGGGACAGTGGATTGTTGGGGCACAGGCTTACTTTACAAGGGGATGAAAAGGCAGGCTTCCTGCCTGTCCTGGCACAGTGGACTGCACTACACCCTGGAAGTGGCCAGCAGCAGATCCAGATCCACAAGCTGCCACCGCCCCAAACTTTGGCTCAACATTACCATTGGCTGGTTCCTGGTTTGTTGCCAGGCATTGCCAAGCACAAATGGGCTTGCTTTGAAATGGGATTAGCTTCATTTTTTGGCTTGTTTTGCATTTTTTCTTTATCTTGTGAGAGTTGCTGCTCACCTCCACGTAGGAGCTGGACCTGCTGCTGACCGCTTCCAGGGCACAGCATGGTCTGCAGTGCCTGGACAGGCAGGAAGCTGCCTTAGCACCCTCGTGGTCACCTGGTCGCCCTATAGCAAGGGAGCCCAGTACCTGTCTTTCCGCCAACCAGTACTGGGACACGACTCATACTTTGAAAATCACTGGTATAGAATATGATGTCTGTGCGCAGCTTAATTGATACAGTGACATACTAGTCAAACAGATCCTGTAAGTATTCTTCAAGGGGTTGGCTTTCCATAGCTAGCACCTTTTATTTTTAACTCTCTCTGTTTACCAGAGTAAAATCCTATATTGCTTCTAATACACAAGGTAGATGTTTTGTAGTATGAATATTCAGAAAACAGCTTCTAAGGATCCTTCTATGAGGAAGAGAAAAGTATGAGAGTTCATAGAGTTCTTACTGACCTTCATTTGCTGGTAACTGTGATGCTCTAGAAAGCATACTGAGGATGTCTTCAAAAATACCTTTGTCCCATGTTCAAAAGTGACTTAGCTGACCAAATCTCATGGCTTTTCAATGAAATAGGCTCCTGGTAACTCTCAGGCATTCTTGAAAATGAAACTTAAGCGTTTTTGAAAATATTATTCTGAATAAATATACTGGCCTTTTATTATAGACAGGAAAAGGCAACAGCAGATGCATTAAAGGAAAAAATTCAGCCTATTGGGAAAGTGAACTGGATGGTCTAACTGGGCTTTTCCATTTCTAGTTCCTATGAGCTAGATTCAGCCTTTAGTGAGCCCTGAAAACAGATTGTGATTGAGTCACTGTTCCTTCTCAGCATTCCCATGGTCCTGGAGGGAAGTAATTTAGTACAGTCCTTTATCACACACAGTTTACCTTTTCTCTACTCTTGCCAATTCAGCTGGCTAGCACTTTGGATGGTGAGAGTAGAGCTAAGGCTCTACCTACTCTTCATCCACTGGCTTGAGAGGGAAGTGCCAGATTCACAGCCCCTATTTCCCCTTTGCCCCACTGGTGCCCTGATGTGGGGTGCTTCTGTCCAGCTATGCAGTAGAGCAGGTGTGGGGAACCTTTTTAGGGCTGGGGGCTGCTGACCCACAGAAAAATCAGTCAGGGGTCAAGGGCTACGTGGGATGTATGTGGGTTGGAGTGCCAGCCTGGGCTCCCCAATGTTGGGGAAGACTCTAAGCCTTGGGGGCCAGATCCAAGCAATCCAGGGGCTGCATCCAGCCCCTACGCCTTAGGTTCCTCACCCTACAGTAGCGTGTTGTCTCCCTGCCATATGACCACTTTAGCTGGGGGCATAATCGGGTCTACATTTATGATTTAAGCTAAACTTACATTTAAAAAAATATATTTTGTTCATTTGAGCAGTTCTTCTTTTATGAGGTGCTACAGTACTTCTTTGAATGGCCTTGTGAAATGTGCTCTTCACACTGCTTAGTTTTTGTTGACAGAATTCATCAGCAAGGAACTTAATGAGATTTACCTTCCCCTCCTCCCCAAGCATGTGGCATTGCAGTAGAGAGTAACTATAGGAAAGGATAATTTTAGCTAGTACCGAAACAATCTAAACTGAGATACAGTATCAGGGGACTAACTCTGATCTCGTTTATACCCAAGGAACCTGCCAATGAAGTCAACTTCCACTTGACAGAGGGTGCACAGCTAATAAATGGAGGCAGCGGAGTCTAGATTTTATTACATAGTGCTTTTATGTATAAATGGGACATAACCCTTTTCCTTTCCTTGGAACACTCATCCCTAAATGGTGGGAGTATGAACTGCTATTTTTGGATTTCATCCCTCAGTCAGGTGGTGAAACAAGTGTGGTGATCACACCTCCTCCGTTAAGCAGCACACGCTGCTATTTTAGTGCTATACTTACTTTAACTCTATAGCAGTGGACTTTGAACAACATGTGTAACCTAATTATAGTTCCTGTCATTTTCTTGTCACCCCTCCGGGAAATAGTTGAAGAATGTGTCTGCACTGGGGGTCTGAGCCCCCAACATTCTCAATCACTGGGGCCTACAATTATGCAGCAGTGCCTTGACATTATGCAGCTTCATGTACCCCCAAAATCTTGATTCACAGCACAGGTTCTATAACATCTATATGAAATCATACCAGAAGGGCCAAAGAGTACGCACACAGGAGTGCAAACACAGGAACAGCAAAAATCATTGTTAACTCCCCCAACATGGAATTAAAGGGTATATTTAAGTGTGGCCACCATCCACAGACAACAACTGTGCCCTCTCTTTGCTGAGCCTTTCAGTGCTCCTGGTGTGTAGTCTTTCGGGGATAGTTGAGGCCTCTGCTGCTTGTTTCCAAATATTATTTGCTGACTGTGTCTTTATCCTTAAGAAGAGTCCGAGTCAGGTATTGATTTAAAACAGAGACTGGAGAGATGTGGAGTTATCCCAGGACATGGCCAAAACACTCAAGTGGATACAGGGAAATTAAGGTTGCCTCTTGCTGATTTTCAACTTGCCTGGCCAGTTTTTTACTTTCTTGATGGTTGCCAGTTGAGAGATGTAATTTACTATTTTTTCCCTGCATGCACGTGTGATTACAAATGTTCTGGCTGGCAGGACATGCCACATGTGGCATCTGGGTCCCATTTTGTGTGCACAGCATGCCACATGCTACACCTTCACCTGCCAACTGCTAAAACCACACCAGCTCCCCTCAGCACCAGGGAACAACTGGGAAGCAAGACAGACCTGTCACCCGAGTACAAGGTTTGCCA